ATTAATAAGCAGAAAGTGGGGGGGGGGGGAGATTTATCCAACATGGTTACATTGGGAAAAAGGACGGAGAGATCCAGAGATGCCCTGCCCCAAGTCCATCTTCAGGATCCTGATGTGAGGTTAAGGTTAAGAGAGCTCTGGTATGCATAACTAAGCAGTCCTGATCAAGGTGTGGGCCCTTGGCCCATTATTAACTCTTCTCCAGGAGACAAAACTCTCTTCTGGTTGTTCTACCACTTCAACCTTTTCTTCTCCCAGCATATTTCTGGGAAAATCCTAATTTCTTTCGGTCCATTGTCTCAGTAATCTGATAGCCAAAGAGAGGAGCAGAATGCTCATTCCTGCCAAGGCATTCCTTGGCCTAATGTTTGGCTGAGTTCTGGGAGCATGACAGATTTGCAAATATGGCTTTCAATTCCCTTTTCCTCAATAGAAATATCTTGCTAATACAATGTTTGGAATTCCCTTTTTAGTACAAATATTGCTGTGACAAAATACCTGTCAAGACCAACTTGAGGAAGGGGTTTATTTTGGCTCTTGGTTTGAGGATCGTGGCAGGGAAGGCATGACAGCAGATGGTGAGGTGACTGGTCATGTCCACTCACAGTCAGGAAGCAGAGAGATGAATGCTGGTGCTCATCTCACATTTTTTATACGAAGCCCATGGAATGGTGCCTCTGATTTTTTTCTTTTGCTGCTTGTGTGTTTGATCTTAGAAAGGAAATTGGGTTTAACACAAGGTCACTAAGACTTATTCTTTCTTTTTTAAAAGTAGAATTTCATCCTGGCTGTCATAGAACTTGCTCTATAGACTGGGCTGGCCTCAAACTCATAGATCTGCCTGCCTTTGTCTCCCAAGTGCTGGGATTAAAGATGTGTACCACCACTGCCTGACTTAAGATTTATTTTTATTTAGTTAATTTTTAATTATTTTATGTGTATAGGTGTTTTGCCTCCAGGCATGTCTGCACATTATATGCATGCCCAATGCCAATGGAAGACACATGAGGGCCTCAGATCCCCTGGAATTGGAGTTACAGGTAGCTGTGAGCTACCATGCGGGTGCTGGGAACTGATCCCAGGTCTCTCTGAAGAGCAGTCAGTGCTCTTAACCACTGAGTCATCCCCTCTAGCCCCTAGGTCTCATTTTGATCATAATGTTGGCAGGTATGATATTTGATAGATTGGCCTTGGTTTTTCTGTGTACAAGGATGGCTATACCAGAGCCATATGCTAAGAAGAATTTTCCCTATTGAGTTGTGTTGTCCTCTCCTTTAAAACCAAAGATCTATTTATAGAATTTCAATTCTATTTATCCCATTGATCTCCATTGCTACTGTGTTGGTTAATTTTTGTTTTGTTTTGTTTTGGTTTGGTTTTGTTATTTTTGTCAACCTGATACAAGCTACATAGGAAGATGGAACCTCAATTGAGAAAATCCCTTCATCAAACTGGCCTGTAGGAAAGTCTGTGGGACAATTTCTTTATTAAATATGGATATGGGTGGTGCCACTCCTGAGCAAGTGGCCCTGGGTTATATAAAAACCAAAGTAAGCAAGGCATGAGGAACAAGTCAATAAGCAGCACTTCTCCATGGTCTCTGCTTCAGTTCCTGTCTTGGCTTCCCTCAATGATGGACTATGATTGGGATGCATAAGCCAAATAAACTTTTTCCTCCTTGTAGTGGACAGTTGTATGTCAAGTTGACACAAGCAAAAGTCACTTGAGACAGGGGGAATCTCAGGTAAGAAAATACCTCCTTAAGATCAGGCTGTTAGGCAAGCCTGTAAGGCACTTTCTTAATTAGTGATTGATGTGGAAGGGCTGGGGCCATCCCTAGGCTGGTCATTCTGCATTATATAAGAAAGTAGGCTGAGAAATCCATGAAGAGCAAGCCAGTAAGCAGCACCTGACCGTGGTCTCTGCATCAGCTCCTGCCTCCGGGTCTCTGTAATGTTTTGAGTTTCTGTTCTAACTTCCTTTGATGATTAACAGTTATATGGATGTCTAAGTCAAATAAACTCCTTCCTCCCCAAGATGCTTGGGTCATAATGTTTCATCACAGCAATAGTAACCCTAACCAAGACACTCCCCAGATTGAGTTTGATCCTGGTATTTATCACAGCAATATAAAGCAGACTAAGATAGCTATACTTGCCGGGCGTTGGTGGCGCACACCTTTAATCCCAGCACTCAGGAGGCAGAGGCAGGCGGATCTCTGTGAGTTCGAGGCCAGGCTGGACCGACAGCCTCCAAAACAGAGAAACCCTGTCTCATAAAACCAAAAAAAAAAAAAAGATAGCTATACTTATACTGTTTCTCTGTCTCCCCACTTTGGGAGACAAGGTCTCATGTAGACCAGGCTGGCTTTGAACTCCTGACTCTCCTGCCTTCACCCTTTAAATGCTAGGAATACAGCCATGTTATACCATACCCGACCTTAGAACTACACTCTCCTGACTACTATAGCTTTGTAGTGTGAATCAAGAAGTTTAAATCCTCCAACTTTGTTCTTTTTCAAGGTTGTTTTGGCTATTCTGAGTCCCTTGCCTTTCCCTGTGAACTTAGGATCAGAGGTTGGCAAGAAGGTTCAGTGGATAAATGTACTTACTGCCAAGTTTGATGACTTAAGTTCAATTCATAAGACACACATGTTGGAAGGAGAGGACCTATTTGTCCTTTGACCTTCACACACATGCCATAGCATGCATGTATGCACATACACACATAGTAAATAGAATGTAATTTTTTAAAAATCTAAAAGAAAAAAGCCTTAAATTTAGAATCAGTATGTAAAAAGCCAGACAAATTCTTTAGTGTTACTACCTGAATGATAATTTTGTCTTTGACCCGTGAAAGTCAGATCCTTTCCCACATAGTTAGATCCCTAGTTTCTTCCAAGTCTGCAAGAATCAAACATGTCCCTAAGTGACTCCATCCCTTGATGTGTTGTTCTTTCTGCTGCTATTCTAAATGAGATGGGCTATTCTTTCTGCTGTTATTCTAAATAAGATGGTCATTTAGACTCCATTTTGAATTGTTCACTAGTAGTCTATAGAAATATGTTTGTCTTTTGTATGTTGATTTTATATGTGCCACATTGTTAAACATATTTACTCATCCAAGTATTAATTTTCTTGTTGCTGTGCCTAAAATATCTGACAAAGTGACTTAAGGAAGAAAAGATTCACTCAGGCTCACAGTTCAATGGTACATTCCACAATGGCAGGGAGGACATGGGTTCAGGGATTTGAGACAACTGGCCATATTACACCAACAATCAGGAAGCAGAGAGATGAACTTTGGTGCTCAGTACACTTTCTGTTTTTTATGCACTCTAGGATCCCAGCCCATGGATGGTACCACTCACATTTAGGGTGGGTCTTCCCTCTTTAGTCAACGTAATCTAGAAACTCGCTCACAGAGATGCCTATAGGTATGTCTCATAGGTGACTTTAAACATTTACCGGCACACTGTCCTTTTCCATGGTACTATGTCCTTTTCTGTGGTACCATTTCCATCTTGCTGAATCATCCTGCCTAGAACCCTCGGGAGAAATTCGGAGACTGTCTTGTTTGTTTCATTTTGTCTTGTCTCCGACCTTTCCGGGTGAGAAGTCTCCAGTCTTCCTTGGGAGGACATAGGCTTGGGACTTTTATAAATCTTGAGTCCTTCCTCGGGTCTAGAGGACAGATCCCCTTCTACTGCTGGTGAATGAGGTACTATACCAGGAGAGTGTGGCGTTTGGAGAGTGGAGGACTGTGTTTCTTGTCTCTATGGAGATGCTCAAAAGAGTTTTGCCTGGCACTGCTCTGGTTGTTTTGGAATGCTGAGCTCTTTCAGTACACAGCTGTCTTGCTCCCTGACCTGCATATGAATCTCTAGCAAGCAGAAGTGACAGTGGCCAAGATCCTCACTTGAGCAAGCTCTGCATAAACAGTCCATTTGGGTAATCTTCATGAGTTTTAGGAAACTGAGAGAGTGGCTCTGCAACAACCTCCCCCTACCTCCTGCCAAACACACACAGCAGGAGTCCTCTGTGGAGTGAGTCACAAGACCCTGGGACTCGGCCAAACAGGACTTGACCTTGAATTTCCTACAGGCCAGGCCCTGCTCCAAGTGACAAGGACATTTTGCCCTAATGCACCTAGAGATACTCTGCAGCATCTCTGTCACACTTGGGGAAACTGAGAAGTCAGTACAAAGTCACACTCATAGGAGAATTTTTGAGACAAGCCCTGGCTATGAAGGCCTGCTCTTCCTACCTTCCCACACCTGCTGGACCGGGGAAAGCAGGGAAGAACCTCCCATTCCAGGCTTAGGTTTCCTCTCTCATTCCCTAACACCACTCATCTGCCTTCATCACGGGGTCTGAGAGCCAAGAAAAGAGATATTGCCAGGCTGAGCTAATCACAGGGGCCCTTCTTTGATGCACTCTATGGGTACCTACCTGACACATGTCCTACCAAGCTGGCCTCTTGGTCTCCCAGTGTTCTCATAGCCAAGCCGGTGGGATGTTAGGCAATGAAATGTGGTGCTCACAGGTGCAGGTCCTGCAAGGCGGCCCCCATATACTCTTGCAATTAGTCCTCTCGGCAAGTCTCCTGGAGCCTATGGGATTGCTCCCTACCCCACCCCATCAATTGGGACTGAACGAGCCTAAGTCTGTATTTTGTCTAACCCAGATCTGTCAGGCTTTCTCCTGCCTACATCTGCTCCTGGGCTCAAGAGAGCTTCCTTTCTGTGCCTTGCCCTGGAATGGTTCTCTCAGCCCTAAAGGCTTTTCAGGTGTGAGAGTCTAGACTTAGCTCCTCTAAGACCCACAGTGCAAGTCAACTGCTATTGTGTGACATTTCCCTGGGGAGATGCCATATGAACACCTATTCACTGACAGCAGTGAACTAACAGCAGACCTAGGAAAGATCCACCAAAGTCCAGCTTGGTAAATCAATCAGTTGATTGGGACTACTTATAAGAGTACGGATGAGGGGTTACTTACAGGATCAGAGATAACTCAAAGGCAGCTGTATCACCAAAAACACCAGCATGGGTGATGGCTCACAAAAGCTGGAATCCTGGAGCTCTGGCATGAGCATGGTCAGAGCATGGGCTCTCTTCCTGTTCACATGTCCTTGGGGAAGAAGCGGCTTTGTAAGTTTCAGGGACTTCTGAGACTTGTTAGTTGTTCACTTCCTAGTCTTAATACCTTCCCTCCAGAATGTGATGTTTTAATTTGAAGGAAATTGCTCCACAAAAAACTCACCACCATGATTGATCAAGCATTCTGGAAACTCTCTTCTTGGCATTGATGTGACCAGAGCCTAAAAGTCCCAAAGAGAGTGGCCATGGCTCCTAGGCTGCCCATAGCCAGCAATTGGAGCAGTTCCTGGCACACAAAGGAACCCACTAAAAACCTAATGTATTACACAGTACACAGAAAAACAGCTACCCTGCATGACCTTCAATGTTCATCCCCCACTTTGGGCATGAGGTATCCCTATCACTGGAGATAGTGGAGAGCTGATGAGAGAGCAGGTGCCCAACTCTGCACATGCAAGGATTGTTCTTTCCTCCTTTAAACAAAAAGAATACTCATGTAGTCCGTGGTGGAGACTCAAAAGACTTTTATTGTGACATCACTTTAGCACTGGTGACTCAAGTTACTTTTATTGTGACAAAACTTCAGCCTCCAGGAACTATAAAGGTAGGCATAATCCTTTACTGTAGTAGCTATGCCAGTCTGCTACAAAGCCAAAACAAATGCACAAATTAACCCTCAAGAAACCTACTAGCCTAGAAGAGTAGATGATTTCAGAAGAGTAGCTCCACTCAGGAAGCTACTGGCCAAAGGTCAGGTGTTCATGTAAATCACACAATTCAAATTTTAGTTCTTTAGACTACTGGGCACGGTGGCCCACACCTATAATCACAACATTTGGGAAAGCAGAGGCAGAACTCTGTGAGTTCTGCAAGAACCTGTCTCAAAATGAATATACATATTCCTTTGTAAACAAACTTCCACTGCCCTGTAGCCAGAGGGATACCAGGGGTGAGCCCCACCGGGAACTGGAAATGTTGGGTCTTGAGAACTGACCCTTCCATAGTCCCCAGTGGGTCCCTACTGATAAAACAGCCAGGTTGTCCTCCAGTTTGGGGAGGTGGTGCCAAAAAGTTATTCCAGTGCAACTTTTTAGCACTGGAATATCATCTATGGTGACAGCAGCCATTCCTCAACTGGGAAGGGAGCCCCCCCAAATCTTTCCTCACTTTCTAACTTTCAGGGAGCCATCCAAAGGATGGAAGATGGACTCTTCGAAGGCACAACCAGGATAGCATGAATACAGTATTTGAAGGTGTCCCGAGGGTGATCCAGCCACAAGTTGGCTAGGGACAATGGGTACACTAGTGAGCTTCCTAAAGGCAGTTTCCAGAAATACAGCCAGGGGTTCTATCTGTGGGACATGGGATTAGCCAGCCGACATAGAATTCCATTCTACACCTTCAGACCCATCCAGGCGACATAGGATTCCATTCTATACCTTCAGACCCATCCAAGTTGCTGACTAAGAGATATAGACACAAAGCACGCTAACTTTTAAGACCCTTTCCTGTCGGGACACTTTCACTAGGGAGGTGTCCAAGGTGCCCGAGTAAGGGAGGAAGTAGGCCGGGTTTCTTTGGGGGGGTATCTTGTGGTCAGTCCTCGGCAGAGACCCAGCAGCCTGTCCCGGGGAGTTGGGATCCCGCAGGAAGCTTGGGGACATCCTGCGCACACACAGCGCAAGGAGACCGTGAGAACCATCTGTACTGAGTTCCCGAACGGTTACTCTGGGACTGAGGTGGCAGCACCCAAGCACCCCTTATCCAGGCACACCCGCAGGCGGGAGGCGGGGCCTGGGGCGGAGCATCCTCAGGGCGGGGCCTCGGAAGGGCGGGACCTAGCGGTCTATAAAGAGTGAGGAGCTCCGCGCGCGCCCGGTCCAAGCGAGCGCGCCCCTGCTTCTGAGAGGTAGCGACTCTCGCGCTTCTTGTTAGGCCTTCAGCCCTTCTGTACCCCGCATCTCGCTCTCGACACCCCAGTTCCCCGGCCCGCCAGCGCCCGTGGCCACCTGCCAACCCCGGACCCAGTCCTGCGTCCCCAGAACGCCCGCTCCAGGACCAGCCCAAGCTCCGCAGGCCGCGCGCCGCCATGGGGGTGGAGGGCTGCACCAAATGCATCAAATACCTGCTCTTCGTTTTCAATTTCGTCTTCTGGGTGAGCAGCCACTGGGAACTGGGGACAGGGCGAACCCTCGGCGGCCAGCACGCTAGGCCTAACTGAGGGCGCAGCGCGGCGGTGAAGTTGCGGCGCCACCTGTGGGCTCCGTGCGCCGGCCGGGGGCTTGGCGCCCCTCGCCAACGGGGTTGAGGCTAAGAGCTGAGCTTCCGGGCCTCTGCTCGTGGGTCTTCTGGGGTCGGGGAATCAGGGAATCGCTGGCCTGTCGCCTGTGAGTGCTGGGGACCGGTGCAAGGGTCTGCGGGCTAGAGCCACGTAACCTGGAGCCTTCAGCTGTGGAGGGGGTATAAGCACCCTCGTGAACGCTGTTTTGGGGACCATCCTGCTTCGCGAACACTGAGGGGGCTTGAGAAGGGCGGGATCTTGGCGCCCCGCCCCCATGAGCTCATCGTAGCCACCGCCCCTAGATGGGCGGCCTCGAAGTGGTGGGGGCACACTGGGTACTTGCCTTGGAGACGTTCACCCCACTATTACTCCACCCTTGCTTACCCTCCAGCTTGGTATTGCCACCCTGGGAGGCTTGAGCTCTGGGCTAAGAAGGATAGGGTGGCCGGCGTGCTGTTGCGCAGCATGCCCCAGTTCCTGCCCACCCCCCAGCTGCCCCTCCTCCTTGTCTGTAGTCTCCCGCACAGATTACAGCCCTGGCCTGGCCCTAAGGTTCTGTGGAGGCTTTTAAGAGGAAGCGGGTTGTGCAGTTCGTAATTGTCGCAGACCAGGGTAGGGCAAAGATCTAGGGTGTGTAGAAACCGGGGGACTTGAGATCTTTTCAGCTATATAGAGTCTGAGCTGGGCTCTCCACTTTGAAAAGAGGCACGCACCAATTTGGTCATCTTGGAATGGAGACTTGGGTATAGAGAGGATCTCCAGGGGTCCCTTGATCCCGACTGTCTTTACCCCTGGGGAGTGACCATTGGTGGTGTGTGCTTGTTTCTGTTTCCTGACTGGGTTGAGAATGAGGAGTGGTAGAATCTAACGGACCTGCCTGCAGGGACTTGAGTGGAGGGTGCTGGACACTCCTCTGGACAGTGTTGCCCCCCCCCCTTCAGTGCACAGGCTGCTGTTCCCTCCGTCCTCCTTTTTCCCATTAAGAAATGAGGTTATGAGGAAACAGTCTGTCTCTAAAGTTGAAGCAGGGAGGACGAACTTGTAAGATGGGTCCTAGAGTCAGTATGTAGGACAGAGGACACCTGTTTTCATCTTGGACTGGGTGGATCAGGGCGGGGTAGGGGGCAGAAGATGTTGGGGGTGGGCAGAGACTGGACTGAACTCAGCTGGGACTTTACTGTGTGGCCTGCTGAGGAGACCCTGGTTGTCAGTCACAATGACCCCAGGGAACAGCATGGGCAATGGGGTTAAGCTTGCTCTGTCCAGGCATGCCCTGAGGTCTCGACTGGGTAGCTTGTTGGTCAGTGTTTGCCTTCTCTGAGCCATTCAAGGAGTTAAATGCACACTCAGAAAGTCCCTCTGGGCTGTCAGGAACCTGCAGGGTATTTCTTTTTGGGCCCACCCACCTGATCAAGCTGGTAGCCCCTCAGGCTCCCTGGAGAGCTGGGGCTGGGTGAGGCTGATTGTTTCCCAGGCAGCTGGGGTGGAGTCCCAACACATCCCTGGGGGTATTCTCTGTTGAGGCTCCAGGAAACGGTTCTGAAGCCTCTCCCTGCTCCCAGGGGCCTACTTACTGACAGTGAAAACCATATCCTTTCAGGATCCCATGGACTTCTCCTCCCCACTCCTGTTGGCCCCACAGTGGGCAGGGATATGGAGCAGAGCCAGGCCACAACTGGTGAACACCACACTGGCAGAGGGGCTTCCTCTGTGCCCTGTGTGGCAAGGCTTGTCCTATGGCTGATAGTTTCCTGATGCCATGAAGTTGAGCATTTGGGGAGCCCCACCCCATTGCTCTGGTCCTCAGCCTCCACTTCCGCCTTATAAAATGGGAGTTCTTGGGGTCTGTGTCTCCTGGGATTGTGGGCAGATTAGCTAATGCAATCCAGAGCAGAGCAAGGGGCTTGGCATAGAGAAAGCTCAGGAAATGGATGCTGGGCACAGTGTCCAAACAGGGAGTTGGGCCAAGGAGAGCTGAGTAATGGTGTAAGAAGTGCCTGGGGAGGGGGCTGAGAGGTCCTGTGGGCCCATGATTGGTATGGAGGCTAAGAGCTCTAGAAATGAGATCTGGTTGACAGTAAATGTCTCAATGGGCACTTTTTAAAATTTCCAGTTTAGAGATTAAAGTGGTTTTTCTGTGGGAGGGGACATCCCAGGCACCCTAGCCTGTATACGCATGCTCTCGTGCCCAGAAGTCCTCCTTGGGCTGAGACTCATGTTTGCCTATCTTGTTCAGAGCTTACTTTGGATCAACAGAGTTTTGGACTCCCAAGATACATGGGACAAGACACAAACATGAAAGACGAGCAGTGAGCAGATTCAGCGAAGGCCTTGTAAGATACTCTTAAAAGCAGGGCGGATACCTATCCTCTCAGACAGGTCTGGGGTAGAAAGACCAATCTCCTGACTCCTGCTGGGAGCAGGACAGGAGAGCAGGGGATGGTGTCCCTGTTTATCACCCTGCCAGCTGTGCCCTGTAGGAGCGTCATATGATAATGTCTCTATAGGTGTAGTCGGGTAAGGGGAGGAGGCTGCTTAGGTCCTCACTGGAATGGGAGTTGTGTTCCTTGTCCAAAACTGGCTGTTCCTTGAACCTAAGGCAAAGGTGGCCCCCTTCCAGTGGCCCAGGCAGCCAGACCCACCACAAAAGGCTGATTACAGTCTTCTAACTGGCATTTAATTCTCCAGACTACACATGACTGTCTGTCACATAGCAGTCTGCTGTCTTCCTTCCGGCAGAGGGGCTGCAATCCCTGTAGGCTCAGGGTGGAATGAAGACTTCCTGTGGCTAGTTTTACCAGCGGGAGAACAGACTTCCCCTTGTTCCCCCAGGCTGTCAACTTGCCCACCTTTGGAAAAGACAATCAGTGGGCGGGGCTGCCTGAGAAGGGGAAGTCTGTGGTCGCTCCCTGAGCTGGCTTCGAGGAAGGATGTCTGCACAGTGGAGGACTAAGGATGTCTGCACAGTGGAGGGCGCAGAGCTAGAGTAGAGAAGTGGGGAACCCTCTGGCAATCTCTACTTTGGTTCCCACACACTGCCACCTCATAGTAAAAGCCCTCACCCCATTCTTTCTGGACCTTTCAGGCCTTCTCCTGGCACTTCCCTCCTAGTTCAGTCTTGCTTCCTCAAATGGAACTTCTGTGCTGCTCCAGGAGGTGCACCAACAGT